CGTTTGTATGTATGTCGCTGTTGTGTTTGGTGGGTTTTTATGCATTCCTTTTCCACGCATGTTTGTTTACGCAGCTGGCAATTTCCAAAATAGTTTAATGTAGCTTATAAATCTAGTGGAATAATATAAAGTGAAGTACGCTTATTTCAAAGCAAAATTTGAGTTTGCCATTTTCGTTTTTTTCAGTTCTGGCATTGACCTTTGGTTTTGTTGCACACCTCTGCCCGATTTCGGCTTAGGTCCTCATCCTGGGGGACTGAAAACACCAGTACTGCAACGTTATGTGTGCTTTTCCACAAGCGGCAAGAATTTCTTGAGATGTTTTTTTTTTTAATTTTTTTCTCAAATCAAAAAAACCCCTCATAAGTTCTTACTCAAAATAGTTAAATGAAAGAAAAAATTATGATAATAAATTACCGAATGTACCGAAATAGAATCGTTAGCTAGAACACTTTATATTATTTTACTACGCTTTTGTCGCCACTTCAGTACATTCCAAAAACCTTTTTCGAAAGCTTATCAAAAGACCAAAAAAACGGAGATTTTTAACTATTTAATCAATAAATACATTTCACTGGGAGTTAATACTTAAACATTTATCGAAGCTCGGATTGTTTCATTTTCTTGTTGTATATTTTTAATTGAAAGAAACTGTTGATATTTTCATTCGATGCATCGAAAATATCGATATTTTTATACGATATATGGATATGAATCGATGCTATATTTCGATGCATCAAATGGAAAAAAAAACATCGATGTATTTTTTTGACTTGCATCTCTAATACGAGTAAATACTAGATAGAGACGCCGAAAAAACATCGATGCATCGAAAGTATCGATGTTTTGCTTCGACGCATCGAAAATTTTCCACTCGATGTATAAATAGTCGATGCATCGAGGCATCGATGCATCGATGTTTTCTGTCAACTGACATATCAAGTATATCGAACGGCCAAATTTCGATTTGACTGAAGTTCATAGAAAGAAAGATGCAGTTTTGTAGCTCATAAAATGTTAGTATAATACGGTGCAAGTTTCAATTGCTTTAATTTTTAATACTTTTTCTTTGGCTGGCCTGCCTGTGTACCTGCTCGGGCCTACGTACGCACCGGCAATGGACCACGTCCACGGCAAACCGCCATCCGCCCGTGCAGCACAGAACCAACACACCCACACCCCAGCACAACACAACAATAGACACACAAACAAACACAATAGCACCCACATACCGCTGCCGGCAACTCCTTGTCCCTCCGACAATCTGCTCGGTTTGTCAGTCCAGAATATACCGTAACGTGACATCAATCAAGTGCAACTCCTGCCTTGGCTGGTGCCACTTTAGGGCATGCTCACGACTTCGTAACACGCGTGATTGTACGAGTGACTATGTGGGTCCTGCTGTGCTGCCCAGTCGCATACCTCCCCCGCGACGCCGCCAACCACCCCACAAGGCAGCACCCCCTTTTGCAGTACACACAGCAGGGAGCCGGCAGGCAACACAACTCCCTAATTCCACACATCACAATTGGTCTCCCAAGGCACACAAAGGTGCTACAATTCAACTGTAACGGACTTCAGAGCAAGATCGAGGAGATAACTGACTTCATGGGAAGGCATGGAATATTAATAGCTGCGGTCCAAGAGAGGAAGTTGAATTGCGCCGGATACAACGTGCACCGTCGAGATCGCCAGCGAGACAATAGTGGAGGCTTAGCGTTCATCACACACCACACCGTGCAGTATCGTCTTATCGAAGCAGACATCGACCGCAGGGATACCATTCTAGAATGTCAGGGTATTGCTATCCGGTCAGGCCATGTTGAGCTCGATATATTTTACGTTTATATACCCCCTGTCACCAGCTGTCCGGCAGTATATCACCCTGGAATAGGTGCGCTAGTCAGAGGTGAAAACCGTATGCGACTTTAACGCGCACCACGATCTTTCGCACTCAAGCCTGTCAAATGATCGTATGGGAATACATCTGGCTGAGCAGATAAACGATTCGACATTCTGCACAATTAATGACGACGCACCCACCAGGATTATGGGCAGCTGCTGTAGCTCGCCATATCTAACAATTGTCAGCGCTGGTCTGATAAACAGCGTATGATGGCGACCCATGCTGACCCTAGCATCAGACCATCTGCCCATAGTCATCTCGATTAATAAACCTGCCGACTTTGCTTCCGCGGATCAGCGGACTTATGTCAACTTTTCCAAAGCTGACTAGAAGGGCTTCGCGGATTTTACTGAAAGCGCCTTCACTGCACTACCCATACCACGTAAATTCCGCAAGGTTGTCACTGCTGCTGCAGCTCGCTTTATCCCAGCTGAATGTATCAAGGATCCGCGTCCGAAGTTTCCTTCTGAAGCGGCTGCTCTAGCCGATGAGCGTGACAACCTTCGTCAGGCCGATACCGGAAATCCCCGTATCAGGGATCTCAATTCGGAGATTCGGCAACTTGTGAACGTACATAAGCGGTCGAATGACCAGAAGGCTGCACAAAATGCCAAAACCCAGTGCGCCTCTTGTTTTCACCAGCGGTGAGGTAAGGGTAGCCATCGATAAGGGGAAACCTCCAAAGCCATTGGACCCGACGGAATATGCATGCTGATGCTGAAAAATTTGGGTGCTGCGGGATTATCGTACCTAACGGAGGTCCTCAATTTGTCAATCTCCACTCTCGTCATTCCAAACATCTGGAAGATGGGGAGAGTGGTCCCACTGCTCAAACCGGGAAAACCAGCCAACAAAGTGTGACGAACTCCGGGTTATGCTGGGGTATGCTCATCGGCTGCCGGGTTTTCAACAAAAAATTAAAAAGAGTTCGTTTTCGATTTATAGCAAAGCACTCGTCTGTCTGGGTCGTACGTTAAGAGGGCGGGAGTAGAACCTACCCGTTCCTCTCCGGTTGGTGGGTGTAGCTCCGTCCCACCAAATATAATTACAGCTATAGTAAAAGAGCGGGAGTAGAACCTACTCACGACCTTCCAAGAGAGGGAGTAGAACCTGCCCGTCTCTAAATACCTAGCTAAGTTCTATAGGAGTGGGAGTAGAACCTGCCCGTCTCCTGATACCTAACATAGGGATTAGAACCTACCCTATGTGTGCAAGAGCTCCTGAGTCTGCAGCAGTCGCCTGACGACTCCTGTCTGCTTTGATTGCTGGCCGGCTATTTATACAAATTGTCGGCCGCAGTCGCGTCGCGTATGTCCCGTTGTCCTTTGCGCTTTGTTCTTTATTGCCATCGTGCTTAAAGTATAGGTACAATTGTATGTATATGATAAATAATAACGGTAGTTCAAATCACTTAGTGCTGTACAATATGTGGCTACAATTCAAAGTATATATGTTCAATGTAACAATTATATATTTTAATTACAATTCCAAAAATTATGTGAATATATCTATGAGTGTTGTGGGGGCTCCAAGCCCTAGGATTGGGGTCCTCACACCCCCCTCTACTTCAGAGAGGCGTTTGTTACCGTCACGTCTCCATTTCGGGAAATGCGAATGCGGTACCAACGCCCTTCTGCGTTTCTTCGCCGTCTTTTATCTGAACGCGGCACCATTGGCTGGGTTACGTTGCTGTACATAGTTGTTGCCTTTTGGCTTGTTGGGTGTTGTTGGCTGCGTTAATGCCTTTTGGTTTGTTGGGTGTTGTTGGTTGCGTTAATGTACCTGATCACAGCATTTTGCCTGCTGCTCCTCGACCCTAGTTCGTGTGCGGATGTGTGTTGTATTTGCGCTGCATGTAGATATATATGCATGTACATATGTCGCCCCATGTTTGTTCTAATGCATTTTGCGTAGGCGGCGTGCTAATTTGTTTGCGCGCCTGAACGCACCACCTTGCTTTTGCCCGCAGTGTTGGGCCCTGTGCCTTTGTTTTCATGCTGGTGCATATACGTATGCATGTATGTACATATGCCGACGGTATCTTGTTTGCATTTTATCTTTGCACGCTTGTTTGCTTACGCACTGGATCACGCCACTTTGCCGTTGCCTGGATTGCTGATGCTGTGCCTTTGTTTGTGCGTTGGTGTGTATGTATATATGTATATACGTTTGTATGTATGTCGCTGTTGTGTTTGGTGGGTTTTTATGCATTC